GGATATCTACTCAACCCGGTTATCAAGATTCTGCACTATTCATCATATGGCGATAAAAATAAGTTCTAAGAGTAAAACAACCAACCTCAGAATTCTCTCCATATAGATTTTTTATAGAAGCAATGGCATTATAAATTATTTGTCTCGAATCTTCCTTAGGAAACCACGGCTCTTCTTCTATCACTTGATTGACTATGGAAACTGCAGTGATGTGTTCTAAAGGGAATCACGGAGAAAATTATAAACCTTTTCAAATAACGCAGTATTGGTAGACATTTTTATGCATGTCACGAGTTGGTTAATCAGATTTGGAATTTATAGTAACAATCAGGTCATACGATTATTTATTCTGTGGTATATGCCGATCTAACATCTGTACGTATTATGCAATCGATTTTTGACATTTCCATTGACTTAGAAATAACAAAAAAAATAATAATTCGAATGATTCATTTTATTTAATGATTTAATCAAGTGAAATAGCGAAGCTAGCACGGCTAAAATAAAGATAGATGGATAATAATAAATAATAGCGGAGCTAGTGCTAAAGCACATATTGTTTTCTTACGGTAGAGTTGCAAGGGAGAGAACGTACGGCCCCTAGACCGTTTAATGTACGCCCCCTATACTTTGGCTCTACCAGATTGAAACTATTTATTATTGTTGTTATAATTTATTTCCCCATCACCACTATTGTCGTCGCTAACTTCTTCATTGATATTATTATTGCTAGATGCGGATTTATTTTTTCCTCTAGACTTGAGCTCGATCCACGCTTTGATCGCTCCTATAGTCCTGGCGTCAGGTTTCGTTGTTTGATTGCTAGATGCGGATTTATTTTTTCCTCTAGACTTGAGCTCGATCCACGCTTTGATCGCTCCTATAGTCCTGGCGTCAGGTTTCGTTGTTTGATTATAATAATTTTCCACCGCTTTCCATATCGATTTGTTGTTTGAAAATATAGAAAACGAAGCATATGATGACAATGAATAGGTATATAAATAGTTTTTCTCCAAATATTAATGTCACGATGAGGATCAAGATAGGGATTAAAATAAAATAACTCTAATGGTATTTTTAGAGAGTCTCAAAAAATTCAGTTGGCGTCATCTAAAAATAATATCAATCAGCCTGGTGGTTCATTTATAATGCAATGAGATATAAGTAGTCTCCCTTCAGGTCTACATACCTTCGATTTGACAAATGTAAAGTAAGAACGATATTTTAATATGATTTACGTTTTGATTAATTTACGACGTTTTATTGATTTAATAATGTTTTATCGATTTATTCGAGTGTTATAAGTAGAAGAAATAATTCCATTTGAGCTATTTTTATACGCATTTCAGAATTTCTCCAGTGCAGATAATCATTTTGTTAAGGATACACGCCATTAAAGTTATCAATAATCATTGGTTTTTTCGAATTACACGGTCAACTCATTAGCGGAGCAAGTACCAGAGGTGCTAGGCACAAAGTGCCATTTCTCTGAAATAAAAATCTATCTATATGGGCGATCTGTTACCTTGCAGATCCTAATTATTTGTGAATTTTATCTGATAGGTAGAATCAAAAACTTTGGCACATCTCATACGACGCACAGACCCTCATTCGATGTCAAAAAATAAGCTTAATTGTTTTTATATAACAACAATAGATACTTTTTCTTAACACGAATTATATCTGGTTTATCCCTGCCTTCTCTTTTACCAATCATGTATATGAGAGGAAAAAGGATTTCATTCTAAGTAATTAATTCGTAGCTTTATTAACAGAGCAATTACCAAAGGTGCTATAAAGTCAAACGCAAAACAACATTCATGTTGGGCAAAATATTATGGTTAATGAACTATCAGCTAATGAATTAGGAATCAAAATTTAGCTAGCTCATGATCAGCAATTCCAGATCGGTACTAACATGATTCGTTTACAAAATTTGTGGATCATTGCTTTGCAATAGTACATGAGATGTGAGAAATGTATTCAGTTGCACAGTGCATGTATCACATTACTTTTCAGCAGAAATTTTTCTGAGTAATCATTCCAAGAGAGTGGTTTTATATCATGTGATATGTTGATTAAACATATGTATTACTGATCAATGATTACTATTTCATATGCTCATTGTATACATCACTTGCAAAATATGATGAATATACACAACTTATCTAATAATTCAGACCCTATGGGAGGTTCTTTGAGATCTGCACTAAAAATGAATCATATATTCTTATATTATAAAGAACCAAATCTAATAGGTCTAGTCACGAAGTGACTGCTTTCAGCAAATCTCTAAATACGATATAAATCTCATAATCTATAAAACACATTATAATTAGGTTGTATAAATGGCTAGCTTAAGTAAAAGATATGGAACCAATTGTACTGATACTGAATGAGATGAATATGTAGAGATATTTCAAGATTATACTAATAAAACTCCTAGTGAGTGAATGAATCGAATTTGATCTCACTTATAATATTTCAGGAAGAATGATCTATTACTTACTGAAAGTAAAAAATATCTTGAAGCTAGAAAGTTAATAATATATTGATCTAAGATTAATGGATTTTATAAAAGTTATATGTCTGAAATTGGTATTGCTATCTGCTTCTCTTGTAATCAATTAGTATATACTGAAAAATGAACTAAAAATATAGGTAATTATAACCATATGGGAATGAAGAGGTATTGAACTATCTATTATATAGGAAATATCTTTTGTGATGTAAGTTATGATGAATATTTGCTGAAAATCAAACAAAAATCTATTTCAGAATATAATTATGATAATGAGTATGCATTATATTATTATAAATTATAGATGCAGAATACTATCAGAAAAATTAAACGTGCCAGAGAAATTGATAAGAAAATTTGAACATGTATAATAATATAATATAAATTCATTGAATATATATATAAACTCAATGATCTCTGTGCTTCAGAATTAGTATTAAATTATTAACTATTATAAGTAGTTCGAGAAAAAATATGATAAATTAACAATGCAAAACTTATCTAATACCTATCATATTTACTGTATTTGTTCAATTTATTAATTTTACCTTTTTATGACTCACTTAAAGTCAGAAAAATAGATGCAAAATGTAGTGCTTTAAACTCTATTTTATTATCTTTTCTAAAGAAAAGCTAGTAACATTTTTTTATCTTAATTTTTATATATCAACTCATTTTTATCTGACACAAAAATTCCTAGTAATGATAATAGATTACACTTGTTATTATTACACATTCACTCTAATTTCAAACATAGCAAAATTCAATTAGCTCAAAAATATAAGTAGCAGATAGAATGTATTAATATTAATAGAATAATCATATAAATGTGATTTTATCATAACTTATATGGATTATAAAACTCAATCTAATATTAACTCTAGTGCTAGTTTTTTACTTAATAGATAGTAGATTAATTCATTAGAAATAAACAGGTATTTCTTTGCATTAAGAACTAATAAATTTGAATAGTAATGTGCAATTTCATATATCATTTTATCAGTGATATAAATATATTGAAAATTAAGATTCTGAATATTTGAACATGAATAAATTACATTACATATAGCATTATCTGTAATTTTGTAATAGAAAGTAAAAATAAGCTTTTGCAAATTTCAATTTAACTGTGCAATTTTTTTGATTGATTTATCAGTTATCCATTCACAACCTTTGAAAAAATAATTTCATATATCTGAACAGTCAGTTGCAATTATATATATAACTTCATTTATAATTATTTTATTAAACAACAAATCCAGATGTTAAAGATTTATACATGAGCATGCAATTACACAAATTGATTCATCATTAATAGAAGATTATCTATTAAGATTTAAATATACTAAATTGAAACAAGATCATACTATTTCAATTACAGATGCACTGGAAATATTACTATATCTATATAAAGAAGTGAGATTTATGTATTTTAAATTTGGACAAGATTGTGTTATTTCACTAACATATCTATCAGTAATAGCTATATACATATTAAGACTCAGATATAGTAGTTTCAGACAATATTTTGCAATTTTTATATATATATTTCTGGCTTCATCATGATCTCCATAGTGAGAGCAAGCAAGAAGATTCAAACATTTTTCAGTAACACATTTATCACATGCTATTAATTTTTCACCATTTATTTGAAAGTATACTCTAGTGTAGTATTATCAACATATTTTTCACACTCTAAACATTATTCGATTTGAGTATCTGGATAAATCTGGTGTAAGGCATCTTCATAAGTATCAAATCTTCCTTTTACTCAATTTTTTATGAAGAGTTTGTGTTCAACTTCAGCAGCCCAGTCATTATTAGTTTTATATTCAGCTCGATATGATTTGTGAGTTTCAATAGCAATCCAATCGGCTAAGTCATCATAACATTAATGACAATGTTGTTCTGAAGTATATAGTTGATTATGGCACCAACATTTCTTGTCTGATCCTTTCCAATCAAAAGACTTTCAACTTTTTCATCTACATGATTATTGAAATTTTTCACTGAGCTGATTACAATCTTCTCAAGTGAATTTTCTCCATTGTACTTTAATTCCTTCTTGATATGCTTGTACATCATTAATCAATTTTGCACTATGAATAATTCTGGTTGACATATCTGGATGATTGATGTATTTTAGTTCTCTTTAAGAGTTTCAACTGGAGTCCAAGTTTCTTCAAGTGTTGTATTTATATTTTCATCAAACTGTACTTGAGGTTTGCATGGTTGAACTACTGTTCAATCATTATGGTTGAGTATTAAAAAGTTTTGATTTTCTAGATGTTGTTCTTCAAATTCTTCTTCATCAGTTGAGGATTAATTATCTGATTCATCAGATGATTCATCAGGACTGTCATATCCTTGTCCATAGATAAATTTAATTTTGGTATTTCCTTTTTGGTTATTCCAATCGAAAGACATGGTTCCATTATGTAGATCTAGTTTGGCTTTAATTTTATTCAACCAATCTATTCCAACTACTACACTATAGATGCGAGCTTCAGTGATATCAACATCAGTAGGAATTATGATTCCAGCAATAGTTATTGGGAAGTTATCAATCGCATCAAGAGATTGTTTAGATTTATTATTTATGTTTGACATAGTGATATTAGATTTTCGTTGAATTTTGATACCATGTTTCTTTAGAAAATTATTACTAGCAACACAACCAGAGACACCAGTATCAATGATTAAGTCAATGAGTACAGTTCCAATCTTAGCTTTATACCAGGCAGAGGTAGTTCTAATCTTTTATCCAACCATTCCAGTAATTTTTTTGACAGTTTTTCATTTTGGTCTAGAAGATCATCTCATGGCTTTAGACATTTTAAGACGTTGTTCTGGAGAGGTTCAAATTAGTTGTTTAATTATAATATTGGCTTTATTAGTTGTCAAGTTATCTAGAATATCGTATGGAACAGATTTGGCAGCAAGAATTAAAGATGGTGTGGTAACTGTTGCAACGTGATGACAAATAAAGCATCACCTAGTTGCAACTAGTTGTGGCTTATAAAATTTTGAAGTTGAAATGTGTTGCAACAGGTGACAAATAAGCATCACATACTTGCTGCACCATCTCTAGCAAGAACAGATAATACAGCTTTGCCTTTCTTTCTCTTTTGGTCTTTTGTTAGTGCAATAATTCGTGCAGTAGGTATAGGTTATTCAGCCTGAATTCCTAGTAACAAAATATTTGATATTACTGGATTACTTGGTCTAGCTATAACTGTATTTTCTTCTTTAACTGTATCTGATTTATCTAGTTTGGCTCTTTTTTGATCACCAGTTACATAATCATGAATGATAAAAAGTGTCAAATTTGTGAAACCTGAAGTTTCAGTTTGTTGAGAAAGATTGAGTGTTTGGAGAGCAGCTAATAATGGTTGAATTTGGAATAGAAGATTGGTTT